TGCCATGTGATTGGTTGATTAGATAATTGCATTAATGAGAAATTGAACAGGTGTTCCTAATAATCCTTTAGGTGAGTGTATATATAGGTAGGTAGCTGTGGAATATTGCACATCTAATGACGCATGTGTTTTCCAACCTTCTTCTAGCAGCTTTTCCTGGTCAGGCTTAAGGAGGGGCAAGGAGAGCCTATCCCAGGCAGCACAGGACACAAGGGAGGGGTTCACTCTGGATGGGATCGCAGTCCATCACAGGGCACACACAAGCATACCCTACCTATAATTTACTGATGACAGTCTGACTGCATGCCTTTGGAGCAGAAGACGAAGGCAGAGGAACACAGGAAACGGGGAGAACATGCAAAGTCCAACAAACACACAGAGCAGGACCGGAAGCCAGAGGCAACTACGCAACCCACTGAGTCACAGTGCTACACAAACTATTATTTCAATCTGCAAGTAAAACTGTTAGAACAAAATGACAAAACGGTTGTTCAGAGACATAACCCCAAGCAAGAATTTGAGGGATGTTTTCATAAACCAGACATGTAGGAACACAGTTTTACGTTTTTGTAATATTACCTAAAGTGCCTGCTTAGTGTGATAACAGAGGAACTGCAGCTGGTTCCGCAGCCCGTGTATTTCTCAACTAGCAACCTGCTGCACCAAACAGGCCTGTAGGGGGCAGTACTGCTGACACTGCAGGCAACTGGTGTATATGGACTGGCAATGCCAATCTCGATAACTACAATCATAAAGAGAAAGTTGTGAAAAAGACATTTATAACGGAGGTTTATAGTGAATAACGGTTAAAGTCAGACTTGGCCGTTTGTATTTTTAGTGTTTAAACTGTGGTTGAGAGTGGAAGGAGGCATCATGAACAATCCCATTCATCACTGTGGAAAATAATGCGTGTTGTGGCTGACATGACATTCCAGGGCTTACATCAACACAGATTGAGCAAGAGCAAATTACATGTTTGACAGCATGATGACAGAGAGTCAGACTCTCAGAATCAGAAACTGCGAGGCCGTGCCAAACAGCAAGGAGAACTTGCCAAAATTTCACGAAGTTTCTGAGAACATCTTTTTCCTGCAAACAACTGAATCCATCATTGCTGCAATACTGCAGACGATACAAACCTTTAGGTCACACCTAATGTTGCCTAATTTTGACCACGACCACAGGGTTAATCATCAGGGCAAATCATGTGACCTAACATTCCTTACTATACACTCAGTCAGTTTGAAAAAAACATACAAAAAGTAATCACTGGCTACATTTTATATTTTCACAGTTCTCCCATCACTGGACTGAGCTAAATTTTGTAGCAGATTCTTACACAAAATGTTACTGTTATAAAAAAAGAATGATATGGAATTTATTCAAAATCTGACCACTGCTTTTCTGAATACGTTGAATCATTCTGAAATACTGCAAGCGCGACTTAAGTTTCAGTACGCACATGCCAAAACAGGTTTTAAACATACAATCAGCGGCTGCGGACAAGATTCTCAGAAGTGAACACCACAGCCACGGGTGCGACAGCTTGGCTGCAGGACAGCCTCTGTATTATTACCTGTACACCAATGTTCATTGCATCAGTGTTCAAACTCTATATGAATATTATCAACCTACATTAAACTATTAATGCATAAGAACTTATACACACAATCATCAAAATAATAAACCAACACAGTGCCTCTTTATTAAGATTATTTTGCATTCAGTATGTACAGATTTTTTATTTTTTTGCCACTAGAGGGCAGCGTGGATGGACCAGAATGCGGGGTATTACACTGTTGGTGTCAGATGCTTTATAGGGGCAGGAACCAGGCTCTCCCCCCCCCCATGCCTCTCACAGGTCAATAAGACATGATTCTGAAATAACCAAAATATACAAACCCCGACTGCTTGGAGGAAAGAAAAGGGCCGGATGCGGTCGTCACGGGTTCATTTGTCAAGTCTCAAGAAACAAAGCTTTTTGGGAGATGGAAGATGAGAAACAGGGGAGTGGCTATGTACAGGGCATGTCTCCATGGCGACGGGCCATCACTCGACCTCCGCCACGTGGGCCACCTCCACCTCTACGGTGTGGATGACGTCGCCCGCGTGCTCCTCCAGCTTGCCCCCCCCAGGCTGAGTGGCGCGCTGGGCCAGAACATAGTTCACCACCTGCATGATGCTCTGGTCCGACAGGGTGGACACGGCGCCGCCGTCCACGGGCATCTCGCTGACCGCCTGCACAGCTTCCACCGTCTCCTCGGTGACGAGTGCCGTCTCGATCTCCTCCCCGGCGGAGGCGTGGGCGGCCTGCAGCTCGGGCGGCAGCTCGGGGGCCAGGATGCTGATGGCATGCTCCACCTGCGTGCCCTGGTTGTGGAACTGCAGCGTGTCCTTCTCCAGCATGATCTTGCCGGGCAGGTAGTCGCCGTGGTACTTGACCATGTGCTTGCGCAGCGTGCGTGCGTCGATGTGCGCGTCCTGACACACAGGGCACACGTAGGGCCGCTCGCCTGTATGCGTGCGAACGTGCCGCTTCAGGGAACGCGCGTCTGCCCACGCCACCCCGCAGGTCAGGCACTCGAAAGGCTTCACTCCTGGGGGGTTGGAGGCGGGCGATTAGCTCCAGAAGACCTAACACACCATCCCTGACTCCTGTAACAACCCCAGTGCTCAATCTGTGTCTGTCTGTCTGTCTGTGTCTGTCTGTGTCTGTCTGTGTCTGTCTGTGTCTGTCTGTGTCTGTCTGTCTGTGCATGTGCATGTGCATGTGCATGTGCATGTGCATGTGCACAAAAATCTCAGTGCACTGATACTCATGCCAATTCTAAAAGTCATATAAACCCATGCAAGGAATTTGAAAGTCATATAAACCCATGCAAGGAATTTGATTGTTAGCAATATGTATCACACACAAATTACTGCTATTATATTATTACGAGTAGCATACAAAAAAGCCGGTTAAAGATTCCCATGTCCAGAAGGTCTTGGGTTCAAATCCCATGATTGCGCAGTAATCTCGTCACCACTGGGTCCTTGAGGAAGCCCAATGCTCCAGGGGCACTGGAAGTGGGGCGACCCTGCACTCTGACCCAAAATCTTGCCCTCACTGTGAATGCATGTGGAGCAGTCCCTAATGACCCCTGGGGTGGAATGAAGCACCCCTACTGGGTTCTGTGTGGGCTGGGCATGGCTCACCCTGGTGGTTGTTCATGTGGCGCCGATACTCGCGCAGCTGCGTGAACTTCCTGCCGCAGTGCTCGCACTCGCGTTCCAGGTTCTGCTTCACCCGGCCCTTCTTGCCGTGCGTCGCCTTCTTGACGTGCCGCCGGAACAGGGCCTTCTCGAAGAACTCCTTCCCGCAGATGTTACACCTGGAGAAAAGCAGCACGGGCCAGACACGCGACGCTAAGTGCTGAATTTCCCAGGGGATTAAGAAAACGATAAGAAAAACAGAATTCTGTTTCCCGAACAATTACACACTGAACCCATTAGGTGACCAAGCCTTGTTTTTGGGAAATTATTAACAGCAAATAATGTAAGAGGGGAAAAAAAAAATCACTAACTGCAAACACCAGTGAAACTGAATCTGCTGGCCCCTGCTGGCCACAGACAGTCACTACACTGGGGGAAGCGGAAAGTGATTTTTGTGATAGGTGAGGGGGCACTCTGGGAGCCAATCAGCTTTCGGCGGGGGGCAGTGCCCTTGTGGCCTCGCTCCGGCATATGGCCTGAAGCCCAGATCTGCGGAGCTGCTCTCGGAGACGCCGGCGCTCACCTGAAGGGCTCGGCCACGCTGTGCGACTTCACGTGCGAGTACCAGTCCTTCTTCCAGCTGTAGCACTTCCCACATACTTGGCACTGGAAGGGCTTCAGGCCCAGGTGCTTGTTCATGTGCTGCTGCAGGTCTTTGGCCTCGTAGAAGCTCTTGTCACAGCTGAGGGGAGAGACGGCCGGGAGGTGAGGGGGGGCGGCGGCGGCGATACGGAACGGCGGTACGGGCCGGCTGATCCGGGCGGGACTCACTGGGAGCAGGGGAAGGCGCGGACCTCTGGCCGGGGCTGGTGCCTCTTCAGGTGCTTGCTGAGGCCCGAGGCTCGGTGGAACGGCTTTCCACACGTGGTGCACAGGTACTTGGACTCGCCTGTAGGAAGCAGAACAGCAGAGTCACCCTTCAAACCAGTTTGTCACATTTCCATCACACTGGAAATCACAGGTTCTGTCTGTGCTGCTTTCTGCTAAAAAAAAAAAAAATGTAGTCGTCTCCTCGGCCCATAAACACACCTAATATGTTATGCCAATTAAATGTGGACAGGAAAGCGAACACGAACATCCATTCTCAATGTGATAATCACCGTTTCAGTTTTCTGACTGGTAGACTATATTCTTCTTAAAATTTCAGTTTCAACCTTGGTAATGAAGCAATATTTTAACCATGTTGCCCACATTTATACAGCCCATATGAAACACGGTAAGAATGCACAGGGCGAAGATGCACTTTTTATCATTCATCTTCAGAACACAGTAGTTCCACATAGCAGACCTTCATCACACTAACATCCAGCGATGCATAACTGCATATCCTAGTGCAGAGGCCACTAACAGACGGACTGTGGTCCGGACCGGGACCCAGACCCAGAAGCTGTCCCATACGGACCCGGACCGATAGACAAAACATTAAGTTATTTTTTAAAACCTGACGGGATGCTTCAATTTTAACCGGCGCAGCTTTTGTAGTCTTTTCGGTTGTGGTTTAGCGGTAGAGCCGCCGTTTCCCGCTCCAATGAATGTCAAACACCATTAACCGCCAAGCAAGACGTAGTTTGGCGTATGGAGCCCTTTGTCTGCGCTAATGTGCCATTAGTGTTAATAGCAGCAGCGCAGCTAACACCCGCAACCAAAAAGCCGTAATGTTCCTAACAGAGGGGCTGCTTAATAGCAGCAGCGCAGCTAACACCCGCAACCAAAAAGCCGTAATGTTCCTAACAGAGGGGCTGCTTAATAGCAGCAGCGCAGCTAACACCCGCAACCAAAAAGCCGTAATGTTCCTAACAGAGGGGCTGCTTAATAGCAGCAGCGCAGCTAACACCCG